CCATAATAGACCCTCGTTTTGGACTCGCAGTGGTGATGTGGTTGTGCTGTTAGCGGTGTGGTGTTGGTAGTGTTGTTGTGTTGCTGGTAGGTAGCAGTGTTGTGGTAGTGGCAGTGGTGCTGTGGTAGTGGTGCTGTGGTACTGGAGGTGTGGTGTTGTGGCTGTGGTATTGTGGTAGCGGTGTTATGGTGTTGTGGTAGCGGTGTTGTGGTGTTGTGGTACTGGTAGTGTGGTAGTGGTGCTGTAGTGTGGTAGTACTATGGTAGCGGTGCGTCCGTACTGCGGTAGTGTTGTGGTGGTACTAGTGTTTTAAGAAGCCCTGGGAACTCAATGTTGAAAAGGGCCCGCGCTCCTGTGGACCCCCTGTGAGGTCTCTGAGAGACTCCTCCGTGTTGCCTTGTTGGACCCCACCTTGGGCCCCCAGCCGTCAAGGCGCCCGGAGTTCACCTTGGGCTCCCAGCCTTGTTCACACTTAACATCCTCACACGAGGATCGCGGATCGTGCCTGGGTTGTAGTAGAGGAGGATATAGCCGTGCCTCGGTTGCGAACCTGATAACTACGGACCTGCCAGGATGAGGCATCCTGGGATCCTAGGCGAGGCCGAGGCGAAGAAGGAGAAGACGAGCGTGTTGCATCCTCACCTTGCGAGATCTCAGAGAACACGTGCACCCTTGCATCCTGGAGAATACTACTCGTCCACCCCCCCCTGCCCGTCCCTCTCCTCCTCCTCCCTCTCCTTACCCCTTACCCTCCCCCTCTCCCTGCCTCTCCCTCTCCCTCTTCCAAAACCATGTTTGGCCCAAGACGGCTCAGGGAGGATCCCTCGTTGCGACCAGTGCAGTGCTAGGGAAAACCACTCATAGGGCGTACTAGTCCTACGGAGTACTAGCCGTAGGGAGTGCTAGCCCGAGGAAGTACCAGTCCTAGGAATTATTACCCCTAGGGTGTACTAGTCCTAGGGGGTACTAGTCCTAGGGAGTACTCGTGCTGCGGCGTACCAGCCTTAGGGAGTACTAGTCCCAGGGAGTGCTAGTCCGAGGGAGTGCTACCCCTAGGAAGTACTGGCGCTAGGGAGTGATCGCCCTAGGGAGTACCAGTCCTAGGGATTATTACCCCTAGGGAATACTAGTCCTAGGGATTCTAGTCCAAGGGGCAAGGGGGCACTAGTCCTTGGGCGTATTAGTTCTAAGGAGTACTTGTCCTATGGAGTACATGTCCTAGGGGAAACTAGCCATAGGAATTACCGATGCTAGGGATTACAAGACCTGGGGAATATTCGTCCTAAGGACTTCTAATCATAGGGATTACTAGTCCTAGGGATTACTAGGCCCAGGGGTTACTACGGGCTCCTAGGGTGTCGGAGCAAAAAACACAAAACAGCAACACACAAACAATAACAACAAAAAACACTAACAAACAAACGAACCAACAACGAAACAACAACAACGACAACAACAACAACAACAACAGCAACAACAGCAACAACAACAACAACAACAACAACGACAACAACAACAACGACAACGACAACGACAACGACAACAATAATAACAACACCAACAACAATACTAACACCACCAACAACAGCACCAACAACAACAACGACAACAACCACACTAACCACAACAACAACACCACCACCAACAACAACACACCAGGCTCTTCGGCCGCTCGAAGAGGCTCTTCGGCGGCTGAGGCGGCCCCAAGAGGCTCTTCGGCGGCTTAGGCTCTTCGGAGGCCCTGAGAGCAAGAAGCTCTTCGGAAGCCTTGAGAGGCTCTTCGGAGAGCCCAAGAGGCTCTTCGGCGGCTGCAAGAAGGTCTTCGGCGGCTCCAAGAGGCTCTTCGGAGAGCGCCAGAGGCTCTTCCGAGAGGCTCTTCGGTGAAGGGGGGGGGGAGCTTCTTTGGAGCCCTCCCCCCCCACTTCACCGCACTCGTTAATTAATACACTCCGGAGGAACCCTGGTCATACTAACACTCACCAGGCCGCAGTAACAACCAACGGGCCGCAGTAACACCTTATCTCCCCATGGGGGGGGGCGGAAACATCGTGCCCGAGATCAGCAAGCGGAGGGGGCACAGGAGAGGAGGGAGGCCCTTGGACTCCAGACTCCCAAGCCTCAGCCTCCTGGGCCTCGTCGGCCGCGCCCAGGGCAACCTGCGCCGCGTCCGAGCGGAGCGCCGAGGACGACGCACCGTTCCGACGAAGCCTGGTCGCACACGTGTCTCTGGATCGGCGACGGCAGACCGAAAGAAGTCTCAGGGCGCGTGAGCACAACTTTAAGCGACGTCGCGTTCCTGGCGTATCTACCGCAGTCTGGCGGCGCGCCTAGGGGGGAAGCGGGTCCTCTCAGAGGGCGCGGAAGTCCCCTGTCCTTCTGAGAAGTTTTGTGAGCCTCCCCTGAAGACACAAAAAACCTCTCAGAAGGCCCGGCCCGCCGCCTTCAGAGAAGGCCGTCTCCTTCTCAATTCCCCCCCTCGCTCGCCGCCGATTTCAGCGACGTCGCGCTCCTGGCATAATCTACCACAGCGACTGCTCCGCCGCTTCCCTCGAGACGCGCTGTGCCACGCCAGAAAAGCAGCGACGGCGATGGAGGAAGGGGCGGCAGCCAGCCGGGAGCGCAGGGGGGAGTCGGGGTCCAAAACCGTCGACAGTCGCCCCACTCTAGTAAGGATGCGCTGTGAGGACGCAAGGGCCTTGCAAGGCCATGCTGACGTTTTTTCGGACCAGGTTGGCCAGCGAAGCTCGCTACTGATGAGCGGAAGAGGTAGCCCTAGAAGGTTGCTCATCCTTACTGTGCGGGTTGACTGTGCTTCTGAGCCTCAATCATGCGGTGGGCTGCCCAAGCAATGTGGTGGTAGGGCGGCGATAGGACACTTCACCTGCATCAGCCTTGTAAAATCCTTCAGCGAACGAGTGCTGGGAGGCTCCCAGCTTAGCACAGGCGTCAGCCCAGAGGTCCCCCGCCCACGTGCGCACGCACGTGCAGCGCCCAAGCAGGTCATCCAAACTCAAGTGGGCGGGGCGCCATCGAAATTGACGCAAGAACGCAGCCCGGGCCCGCAATACGGCTTTAGCAGCACTGCCTGCTACTGCAGCGGCTGGGGCATAAACGTCATGGGCTACTCTGGCGTCTCAACGCGGCACCAGTGCCTGATCAACCGACATGGCGTCGGTCAAAAATACACACTGGCAATACAACAACTCTCTGTTCTACGATCCGGGGCTGGTAGCACCCTGCGCAACGTGCATCGGAAGCAGTAACTCAGCACACTTCAGGCGGACGCGCACAACGCACAGGAAAGGTCGGAATGCAGACATGTTCCAGGCAAAAGACTGCAGAGCAACCATTCGGGCACGATGGTGGAGGAGGCGGAAGGAGAGGAGGAGGAGGAGGAAGAAGAAGAGGAGGAGGAAGAAGAGGAGCAGAGGGGGAGGAGGGAAAGCAGTGAAGAGGAGGGCGGGGGACGAGGAGGAGGAGGAGGAGGAAGCATGCCGAGATGAGAAGGCCAGGATAGGGAAGCCCAGACCCCCGACGTCGTGTTTTTTGCGTGACGTGACCCCCAGGGGCCTGGACCCCTTCCCGGGGACGGGGTTTTCATCCCGAGTCGTTCTTCGACGCAACTGGGGCCCAGCGAGGGCCCCTGGAGGCCAAACATGACGAAAAAACTCCCGTCGTGATTCTTCCCAGCGCGAGGATGTCTGGGGGGGAGGGCATGGAGGGAAGGAGTGCAAGGAGGCCCGGGCCCGCGCCAGGGCCGCTCGCGGCGTCGCCTGCGGAGCCTCCCCCACGCACAGCCGCCAGGCGTCGCTCACGGAAATCAGGCGGCGCAGCTCGGGTGGCCCTCCGCCGCCCGTGTCGCGGACGAAAAGGAGCTTCCTGCGGGGGGGCGGGAAGGGGGGAGGAATGAAGGGTAGGAGGAGAGGGAGGAGGAGGAGGAGTAGGAGTAGGAAAGGGGAGGAGGAGGAGGAGGAGGATGGGAGGAGGAGGAGGAGAGAAGGGGAGGAGAAGGGTGTGAGGAGGGGGAGGAGGACGAGGAAGGAGGAGGACGAGGAGGAGGAGGGGAAAAACAGGAGGGTGGAGGAGGAGGAGGAGGAGGAGGAGGAGGAGAGAGGGGAGGAGGAGTAGGAGGGCTCGAGGAGGAGGAGGAGGAGGAGGAGGAGGAGGAGGAGGGAGGAGGAGGAGGAGGAGGGGAGGAGGAGGCGGGGGGAGAGGAGGAGGAGGAGGAGGAGGAGGAGAGGAGGAGGCGGAGGAGGAGGAGGAGGAGGAGGAGGAGGAGGAGGGGAGAGGAGGAGGAGGAGGAGGGGAGGAAGAAAAGGGTTGAGAGGAGGGGAGGGGGGCAGGGAGGGTGGGGAGGAGGGTAGAGAATTCGGGGGGAGCAGGAGGGGAGGGGGGAGATGTGGATGAGCAGCAGGGAGGGGAGCAGCGGAAGGAGGAGCGGGACAGGAGGGGAGAGGAGAAGCAGCAGGAGGCATGATGAGGCGCAAGAGGATGATACAAACCACATAACAGAAAGGAAAACTATGACGTGGAGGGGAAAGGGGACGAGGAATATAATATGGGAGTGGAAGGCGAGGGAACATGGAGGAGAAGCAGCAGGAGAGGGAAGAAGTGGGATAGAAGAGGAGGATGAGGTTGAGTAAGGAGGATGCGGGAGAGTGGGCAAGAGGCATGAAGAGGGAGCAGGAGGAGGAGAAGGATGACCATGGGGAGGAGTGGGGAAATTCAGAGGAAGACGAGGAGCAAGAGAAGGGAGCGAGGTGAATGCTACGGAACATACATGGGGGAGCAGATGGATGCGGCACGGGAAGGGGGATATGTCAGAAGGGCGGGGCAGGGGGGGTGCGAGGACTGCGAGGAGGATAACTGCCCATTGTCTTGGGATGGTGGGGGGGAGAAGAGGAATTTGGAGGAGGGGGGTTGTGGGAGTAGGGAGGGAGGGAGGGATGAAGGGAGGGAGGGAGTGCGGGAGGGAGGGAGGAGAAGGGAAACTAATGAGAGGATGAGCAGGGAGAAGGAGGAGCAGCAGGGGCAGGGGTAGGAATGATGAGGGCGGATGGCGGAGCAGGAAGAAGGACATTGGAACGTCGCGCGGGGGGGGACCGAGGGTGGAGGGAGGAAGGCGGACAAGGGTAAATGGAAGGAGGGCTGACAAAGAAGTGAGGGAAGCGGTAGGCGTTTTGTGTCGGACGGAAGGGTAAGGGAGTAAAGATACGACCACATGGTCCAGGAGAAGGAGGGGACGTGGGACACATAAGGATGGCGGTGGGAGGGGGATGTGGCAGGAGGGGCGAAGGGCAATGAGGGAGGAAAGGCCGGGAAAAACAGGAGGAAGAGGAGGAGGAAGGAAGAGGGACGAAGGGGGGACAAGTGTGTTGCCAACAATTCTGCGCCCAACAATTTCATGTCGTGCAAGGAACACGGCTCGCAGCTAACGGAACGGGTATTTCAAGCTAGTGCCGATGCACTCCACCAATGCTGCTGGAAGGTAGCTAGGCGAAACGGGGAGACGGAGATTCCAGTACTTTACACTAGGACATCTTCAAGAACAGGTCGTGTTGTCAGACTGATGCCGGCCCGCTTACACACACACACAAGCACGTGCGGCGCGGCACAGCCAAGTCTTGCTAGGATGGTCGGTGATTACTTTCCCTTTCGTACTCCCCTTCTCCTTCCTTCCCATCGCCCTCCCTCTCTCCCCTTGTGGCTGCCATGACAATGGACACCCTGACAGCCCTATCATGGAGTTAAACATGTGTTCGGATGTTTGAAACATGCTCTAAACACCCTCAAAACGTGAGATAACAGGTTGAAGACATGTTCAGCACTCTTCTAGACGTATCTGGAGATCACTTGGCAACATGCTTCCTCTCCATGGATCGTCGCCCACAGCTCTCCCCGACACGCATCCGCATCCCCTCCCCCCCCCTCTGCCGCCCTCTCGTCGTCAGCCTCCCCTCGAGCACGCGCGCGGCGCCAAGCCCGCGGCACCCAACGACAGACCTCGAGAGCCGCGGCCCAGGGCTGCCCAACATGACGCCCTGGTGCACGCCGAGGCCGCAAGAACCGCGCGCTGGGCGGACCTTCTCGACGCCGAAGCAGGGCGAATCGAGCGGATCTTCTTGCTCGCTGGGTCGGCAGTGCATAGAGTGAGGTCGGGCATGTCCCCCCTACAGGCGGGTACTGGCCGAAAAATGAGGGCACAGTCCAAATACTCCAAAATGTGTCCACGAGCTGCCCTTCGGCCTCGCAGCATGCACACTGCTTCAGCATGCTTGTGCTCATGTTTTGTAGGATTCTAGCTGGGATGCATCCTTCGCTGGTTGGGGGAGATTGCGGGGGACAAGCCCTGCAAAAGGTACGCCGCGGCTCTGGAGCATCACCTATGTGCTGTATGCTCGAGCTGGTGAGGGCACCAATGGGTGCTTCGATGTCCGTGCAGTCTGCTTTTCTTGGATATCGTTTTCGTTGCCATGCTGTACATGCTTACAACGCGGCTGTAGTCTTCATCAGGCCAGGGGGGGAGCGAGCGAGCGATCGCATTGGACAGCCCGCTCGGGAATCGATCTCAACTCGACACGACTCAGCTTGGCCTTGCGCAAACAAAACCAAGCTCGACCTGGCTCAGCTCAACTCGACAACTAAACTAGCCTGAGCCCATTACAATCCTTCACTGTCCTCCCTCGGTCGTCGTCATCAACATCATCACTAAGCCGGCCAAATCATTCCCCCTTCACTCTCACCCTCCGCCGCCTCCTCATCATCTCGGGAAACGGACAACGTCATATACGTAAAAGCTCAGAGGTCCGCGCGGACCTCTGAATTCTTATGTTTATGTCATTGTTCGTTCAGCTATATTCACCTTCATCGTCATCACCGTCGCCACGACCCTCACCGTTATCACCAGGATCAGCATGATCACCATCACCCACCCCGTCGTCCTCCTCGCCCCCTGCCCTGCCCTCCCCGTCAGTTTCCTGCTGCTCCCTCCCCTCAAAAAGAGCGTCGCCGGGACCTCTCCAAGGGGACGCGCTCGGATCCTGATAGGCAACAGAAAAGTCCAGCCGTTGTGGCGAGGCGCCTCCCGGAGCCCCAAGACATGCGAACGCTGCCAGAACTCAGAACCCTAGATCGTCGAACCTCGGAGCCGCCTCTGCCCGAATCCACCATTGGCGGCGAGCGAGAGGGGGAAGTGAGAAGGAGGGAAAAGGCATTCTCAGAAGGCTCGGAAGTGAGAAGGTCCCCAAGACTTCCCCGAAGACGCAGAAAACCTTCCAGAAGGCGCAAGGGCTTCTGAGAAGCCCCGTCACCTTCTGAGAAGGCCTTCGCCTTCTCACTTCTCCTCCTCGCTCCCCGCCGACCCGAGCCTCGAGCCACCCGCGGCGGGTAGGAACCGGGAACGGCGACACAACCACCAGCAGCGCGAGAGGGTCCTCCTGGTGGTGTGGTCCCCCCCTCTCGCTGGAGACATGCCCCATCCCCAGCTCGGGGAGGTACGCATCAGCAGACAAAGAAAAATAACAGAAACAGAAACTTTTGGCGTTCCGCGGGGATTTCTTGGATCCGCGCTGGACCCCCCTCCCTGGCGCGCGGAGCGCGCCGAGGGCAGCGCCAGAGGAGCCGCCACGGGGGGGAGCCAGCTCAGGCCAAAGAAATTCGCGGGGAGCGTCAAAAGTTTCTGTTTATACGGTTATCTTCTTCGACATACCCCATCCCCAGTTCGGGGAGGTACCCTGGACCTCCTCGCTGGAGGTGACCCCCCTGGGGGTGGTGGTGGTGGTGGTGGTGGTGGTGGTGGTGGTGGTGGTGGTGGTGGTGGTGGTGGTGGTGGTGGTGGTGGTGGTGGTGGTGGTGGTGGTGGTGGTGGTGGTGGTGTGGCCTCTCCTTCCTCCGAGCGAGCACAAGATTCCGGGAGGGCGCTGCTCCGATTGCGCTCGCTGAGAACGCGCAGGAGCAGCTCGCGCAGCGTCAGCTCCTCGGCAGCGCGGCCACGCCAGCGCAGGCCGAGCGACGACGAAGAAGACGACGAAAAACGGCGGCGACGACGACGAAGAGGAAGACGACGCCAACGACGACGAGCACGACGACGAAGAGAAGACTGCGCGTCCTCCGCTTCGCCGCTGGCCCTCTTGGGGCCGAGTGGGGAGGTCAGGGGACGCTCTACGGGCAAATGTTGGTGGCGGGGGAGGACGAGGAGGAGGACGAGGACGAGGAGGAGGAGGAGGAGGAGGAGGAGGAGGGGAGGAGGAGGAGGAGGAGGAGGAGACGGAGGAGGAGGGAGGGAGGAGAAGGGAGGAGGGAGGGCTCTCCTTCTGCCTCGGCGGCCTCAGGGGAGGTGCCGGGGGTTCCCCGTGGCAGGCAGAGCCGCGGATCGGCATCGCGCCTGGCGGGCCTGCTCGGGCTGGTGCTGTCTGCCTTGTTGTCCTCTCCCTTCTTCCCGACGGCACGGAGCTCGAACGCCGCAGCGAGGCACTGAATTACAAAAAGAGGGGATGGAGGAGGAGGAAGGAGGAGGAGGCGGAGGAGGAAAGGAGGAGGTGGAGGAGGAGGAGGCGGTGGAGGAGGAGGAGGGGGTGGAGGGGAGGAGGGGGAGGGAAGCGCAGGAGGAGGAGGAGGAGGAGGAGGAAAGCGAGAAGGAACAAAATGGGTACTGCGAGAGCTGGTCAAGTGCCGCGCACACCCGGCTGCTGCTCCTCCTCCTCCTCCTCCTCCTCCTCCTCCTCCTCATCCTGCTTCTCCTCCCAGCCCCGTCCCCGTCTCTCCTCGCCCTTTCAGCCTCTGGCTCAACGAAGGCGCCTCATCCTGGTGCTGCTGCTGCTCACCCTGCTGCTTCGGGCCCGCTTCGGAGGGAACGGCCACATGGGGAAAGGGCGGCGCGACGAGGTGGAGGAAATTTGGCCCGACGCCCCACAGACGGGGACAATGGAGCTGTATGCGAAAGCGGTTATGGGGATGGGCCCGAAGTGAAACGTGAGGTGCCCCGACTGGGACATCGTTTCGATTCGTTTCGTTCGTGACGCGCGCGCGGGCGAGTCAAACTGCGCGAGTTCCTGCCCTGGTAGAGGCCAAGTAAGACCACAATGTGGCGCCCCCCCCGTCGGGGCCGTGGCCCCCGGCTGTCAAAATGGTTGTCCCGATGGTTGTCCGAATGGCTGTCCCGTCGGTTGCGCCGATGGTTGTCCCGATGGCTGCCTCGAGAAGGATGAGGTCGACAGATCGATTTATCATGAGATAGATAGCACTGGAGACCGATGCATCGTGAGACTGGCACATCAGTTGTAGAGTTATCCAGTTGGGAATCCCGATTGGTAGGCAGTGTGATCGCCAGATTGATTATGAGTGATATCGCGACATGTAGACAGTGATTGCGATTTACGTATGGAAGGTCGTTGTCCCGATGGTTTTCATGATGATTGTCTCGATGGTTACCCTGATGGGTATCCCGACAGACCGACAGTGAGATCGACAGGTAAATTGATCGCACGATCGCTAGTGATGATGTCGGTGAACAGATATCTGCACGTAGATCGTAAGACCGCTCTACATATGGAAGATAGTTGCCTGATGGGTGTCTCGATGGTTACCCCGACGGGTCTCATGATAGACCGGCAATGAGATCGACAGATATTTTGGTCGGAAGATCGCGAGATCATGAGTGGGACCGATCGAGTATGATACCGATCGAGAAATGATAGATGGTTGTCCCGATGGCTGTCCCGACGGTTCGGCCGAAGGGGTCTTTCGGATCGTTTTCCCGTTGGTTGCCCCGATGGTCGTCCTGCCGTTTCCCGATGATTGGCACGATTGTCGCCCCGACACATACAGACTGAGCTCGGCAAACTTACTGACGGTGAGGCTTGTAGATTACAAGCCAGACCGATGGATGGTGAAACCACTAGAGTTTGTTATATCGAAACGGTTATCCCGATGTTTGTTCGATGGAGATGCTGGTGCTGAGGGCTCTCCCCTTGGTTCCCCTTGGTTGTCACAACCGCTGATAGGTAGATCCGCCACCGTGCCTGCGGGCACGGAGTGGGCGTGTCCTCAGGTCTCTTGTTGTAGACCTCAAGCATCTAGATGGCGGATAATTGAAGAGCTCGGACCTCAAGCTCTCAAATCTGCCGCGGTCCCGGGCGGCTTGTCGCATGACCTGCTCGTACTCCAGAGGGTCCCAAGACGGGCCACAAGGGCCCCAAGAGGCCCCCAAGACGGTCCGCGAGGGCCCCGAGTCGCCGAACGGTCGGTCCAAGGCGCCCGAGATGGCCTTCGGACGGTCCAAGGAGGCTTCGAAGACGCCCTGGGGGCCCAAGCTGCCTCCAAGAGGCCCCCCAAGAGGCAACATGCCTGGTTCTTCCTCAGGTTGTTGACGGATTTAGGCGTTTTCGCCTTTTCGGTTTCCCGACGGCAAAAGAGGCGCCGAAGATCGCCCTAAGACGGCCCAAGTGGCCTCCAAGAGGGCCCCGAAACGGTCCACGAGGCCTCCCAGACGGCCCAAGAGGCACCCAAGACCGCTCCAAGAGGGGGCTCAGATGGGGGACCAGAGCGGACATCTCGAGAACCCGGCCCCAAGAAGTCCCCAGGAGGACCCAAGAGGCCCCCAAGAGGCCGCCAAGAGGAGAGGACCCCAAGAGGCACCCCAAAGGCCTCCAGGAAGCCCCAAGAGGGGCTAAAACTTCGCCATCCACTCGTGGAACTCTTGCAAACATTTAAGACGAATGCGTGCGACGCTGACGTGAGAACCACATTTTGAAAACGACCCAACCTCCATCCGTGAAGCTCCTACAACCTTTTAGGACGGGTGTGCGCAACGCTGAAGCGAGAACCACATTTTGAAAACGACCCCCCTCCATCCGTGAAGCTGCAGCAATTTTTAAGGTTACTGATCATGAAAAGTGCGGACGTCTCAAGCGAAACGCCCGGCCCGCCCTACCAACACGTCTCGGGGTGCGACGGGGAGGAGTTATTTGTAAGCGAAACGGACGGAGATGGAGGAGGGGTGACGTGGCAGGAAAAACGGGTGAGGGGGGAAGTAGGGAAGGCCATGGGGCAAATCGTGTTCTCACCAAGCTCCTCTCTGGCACGTGTCGCCCAGGTCTTGGAGATCGTCCCTGCTCCCTCTACTCACCATCCCATGCCCCCTCCGGCCGCCGGCCCCCCTTCTCACCTTCCCCATCTCCTCCTTGCCCCTGCTCCCTTCCAGTGCCCCCCCCCTCCCCCGTCTCATCCCCATCTCTCCCCCGTCTTGTGGGGCACCAAAAGGTGCCAATACTGCTACTCCCCTGACCTCCCCCGGGGTGCGTTCTGACCAGAATTTCGAGGCGAATCCAGCGGTGGCGACGAGGGCCTCCCAGAAGGCCCAAAGGGGGAAACGCTGGCGAAGGGTAGCGGTATGGGCATCTTTTCCTCCACGGACCTTTCACATCCGCTCTTCCCCCCCTCGGCCTCCCGCCGACCGACGCTGGAGGAGTCTGCGGGGCCTGCTCCACGCGCCCGGCCTTGTGCCATGCTGGGAGCGGGGGACGAGGCGGCCTCTGGCCAGCGGCGCGCCCACGTGCGCACGACCAGGCACGACCGTGCAAGCGCGTCCGCGGGGCGACGGGGGCAAGGCTGGGCACGCGCGTGCAGGGGCGCTGGTGGTGGGACGCACAGAGACATAGGAGTACTACATTGTCCACCCTGGAGGCGCGCGCCTGACCCGAACATATAGTACACCCATCTTGTAGTAGATCGTTTCCTGAGCGGTGTGGCCAGGAAGCGCCCGCCACGACGCATATACTATAAGATTTCTCGGTGCGCGCGTCGCCCCAAGGGGGGCGACGCACACACAGTACTAGTATGTTGGGGTGGCGCCGAGGTGCCGAGGTGTGACTGCTGGCCTGGCCACGCCCCCCCCCCCCACCCCGCCCCCCCCTTTGCCCTACCCGGGAAGGTACCAGCTGTACCCAGACCCCCGACGTCGCGATGTTTTCTCCTGACGGGACCCCCAGGAGCCCGGACCCCTTCCCCGGGGACCGGTTCTTCATCCTGCGTCGTTTCCTGACGGCCCCGAGGCCCGGCGAGGTCCCCCAGAGGCCGACAAAATAGCGAGAAACCTCCCGTCGTAGTGTTTTCGCGACGCGAGGAGGTCTGGGTATACCAGCACCGATCCTGGCCAGGAGCACCCCGTGCCCGGGTTCGGCGTACACGCCCTCCTGTCTGGGGCAGAAGGCGTATATATATATATATATATAATATATATATTTATATATATTATATATATCGAGGATGGACAGAACCCCCTTTAGTAAAACGTGGTTTAGCGAAAACGACCTCGGGCCCAAACCTGGCGGGCGCAAGCCTGGAAAATGACGGCAGCGGCGCCCTCTCAAGAACCGAAAACGGACAATTCACGAATCGACGTGTCAGGGTAGGAGGTCTATCAGGCTCCGAATATAGACCGATCCTGGGCCTGGGATGTCGGCCTGGCCATGATCGGTGCAGGTGTATAGCCGGTGCCCTCCGACAGGGCTGAGCCTAAACGGCGCTTTGCATTTTCGTTTCGCTGTCCGTTCTTCCTCGTTTCGTCTTCGCGTCGCCTTGAATGCAAAACAAGCCGAAGAACAAAACGGCCCACGATATGGCCAAAACACCGTTTAGGTCCAGCCCTGCCCTCCGAGCTACCTCCACGCCCCCCCCCCCCTTCGCCGCTCCCCCCCTCGCCCGCTCCACCCCTTCCGCTCGCCCTCGCCGGAACCTCAGGGCCGCGTGGGCGGGGGGGCTCCCTCGAAGTTTTTTCAAGAGCGTCGTCCCGAGCTGGGGGCGCGGACCCATGCCCTTCTCCGGGAGGCCCAGGGCCCCGTCTCGGGGGCCTCCCCGAAGCTGCACGAAAGCCCGGGGGGCCGACGGCTCACTCCTCTCGGCCAGAGTCTCGCCGCCAGACGCCTGGTCGGAGATCTTCCGACCCGAGTCCCTCCAGACCCGGGTCAGTCAGGCCTTGCAGAATCCTGCAAGATCCTGAAAGACCCTGCACCCAAACCTGGGTTAACGCGAAGGATCCTGCAAGATCCTGCACCCAAGCCCAGCTCAGTGTGACCCTGGCCCTGCAGGATCTGGCAAAATCCAGCGCTCTGGCTGACCCCCGTTTGCATTGACCCCCGTCGCTTGAGTCCCGACCTGGGCCCACGTGGGCCGCGGGTTCCAGCGAGGCCCGAGAGCAGCGGGGAGGGGGTCCAGGTTGGTGACAGGAAGGCTTTGTGTTGGGCCTCCCTCGCAGCGTCCGCGGGTGGCTGTGTCAGATGAATGCTCGGCCCCTGGAAGGTGGGAATGTGTCTAATACAGCGCCCGGGCGGCCTCAGATGAACGCTACCTGCTCTGAAGCATGGCCGCCCCTCTCCTTGCGCTCGGGGCCCCATCAAGCACTGCCGGGCTTCTGGCCTGACGGCCCTGCCTCCCAGCCGCGATGCACCGAGAACGGGGTCTCGCCCATAGCTTGCCTAATTTACCCTGCGCGCCACGGGATGCACCATGACCTCGCGGCCCATCGGCGCTTCACCCGAAGCTCCCAAATCCCACCTGTAAGAAGAAGCCAGCACGTCATGCGTTTTTCCCCGAGGGCCCGGGACCCACCAAGTAGGAGTGGCAGTCAAACTCTGGTTCCCGATTTTTCGGCAAGCCAGGACGCTGGCGCGCCCGAGAAGACCGCGGCCGTGGGCCGACGCAGCCTCCTGTCGCAGCTTGCCGCACCCTGCAACGCAACGGCTTGCACCCGGTAGCCGCCGAAGGATGGCAACAGCGACTTATCCACTCCGCCCGCCCTCGCCGTCGCCCTTGGCGGCGGGCAGCACAAAGGGCTTGTACGAAGGACGTGGCCTTCCGAAGCGGCCAGAGGGGGGGCGTGCTCTCAGAAGGCAGAGGGCGGTCCTGGAAGCCCTTCCGGCCTCTGAGCAGCCATCCTCGAAGCTCCCTCCTCCCCTCCTCTTCCTCCTCCTCCTCCTCCTCCTCCTCCTCCTCCTGCTCCTCCTCCTCCTCCTCCTCCCCCAAAGCCTTTGGCCCAAAGCCCCACACCTTCGCGCCACCCTCTGCTGTGCGCCGCCGCACTCCGCCCTCCCCCGAACGGCACAGCTGAGGCGAGCGACTCGCGGCATCCCGGGCCCCGCGGCCCGGGATGGCCGCCGCCGTAACCGCCGCCGTAACCGCCACCGCCGTCGCCGCCGTCGTTGTCGTCGTCGACGTCGTCGTCGTCGACGTCGTCGTCGTCGGCGGCGGCGTCGTCGTCGGCAGCGGCGTCGTCGTCGTCGCGGTCCTCCTCGTAGACAAAGGCCGCCTCGGCGAAGCGGGACTCGCTCTCGGGCTGCGGGGGGGGGGGTGTGCGCGCGAGTCGGCGGCTGGGCTCCGCGCCCCGCTCCTTCCTGAGCCGCACGGGCCGCAAGGCACCGAGCTGGAGCGCCGCTGCACAGAAATCAGCAGGCGTCCGGGTGGCCTCTGTCGTCAAAGTGGACCTGGACCGAGTGCGTGATGGAATGAGCTGGGACGTCCTCCTCCCCCTGCTCCTGCATCCTTCCCCTCATCCTACCTTCTTTTGACGTTGGGCGAGCCTGAGCAGCGGAGCTGTAGCGTTCTTCTCCTCCTACCTCCTCCTCTTACCTCCTCCTGCATCCTGCTCCTCCTATCTCCTCCAGCCTCCTCCTACCTCCTCCTATCTCCTCCGGCCTCCTCCTACCTCTTCCTACCTCCTCCGGCCTCCTCCTCCTCCTCCTTCTGCTACCTCCTGCTACCTCCTGCTACGTCCTTCTCCTCCTCCTCCTCCTCCCCCTCCTCCTCCTCCTCCTCCTCCTCCTCCTCCTCCTCCCTACCTTCTCCTCCCTCCTGCTCCTTCCTCCCTCCTCCTCCTACATATAACTCATACCTCATACCTCATGTATCCTGCTTTTTATCATACCTCCTGCTTCTCCTCCTCCCTCCTCCTCCTCCTTCTTCTCCTCTTCCCTTTTGCCCCTCCTCCACTTCCTGTACTCTCTCCTCATCAACCTCTTCTCCTCCTCCTCCGTCCTCCCTCTCCTCCTTCTCCTCTCCTCCTCGTCTTCTCCCTCCTCCCTACCTCACTCCTCCTCCTACCGCCTCCTACCTGCTCCTCCTCCTCCTCCCTCTTCTTTCTCCTCCCTCCTCCTCCCTCCTCTCCCCGCCTCCTCCCTCCCAGACCCTCCCCGTTCCGCCCCTCCCCGCGGCTGCTGCGGCTGCCGGGGCGGGCGATCTGTGGGCCCGCCTCCGCCGCCGCGCCACGCCCGCCGGCCCCCGCCGCGGTGGGAGAGCCCGCGGCACCGCCGCCTCGGCATGAGGGGGCCGGGATATGTTTTTGGCTTGGCCTCCTCCCTCCTCCTGCCTCCTCCTCCTCCTCCTCCTCCTCCTCCTCCTGCACGTCACCACAGAAGGGGGACGGGGAGAGGGAGGGGAAAAGGGCAGGGGGAGCGACACGGCAGGGGGGGACGGGGAGGAGAGGGGGGGGGATGAGGGAGGGCACCGATCGAAGCGATCGGTCGGATCGGCGATCGGGAGCGCAGTCAATCCGCATAAGGACGCGCGGTAAGGATGCACGACAAGGACGCAGGGACATCATGCACGATAAGGTTGCACGATGAGGATGTACGATAAGGACGACAAGGATGCACGATAAGGACGCACGATAAGGATGCACGACAATCCCCTTGCATCCTTATCGTGCGATGGGCGCACGATGAGGATGCAAGATCATGGGGGGCCATGTCGACACTTTGCGAGCGGGCTGGCCAGCGAAAGCGGCCAGGGGAAGGGCACGAGTCTGAGACAAATCCAGGACGAGGATACATTCGGATGAGGATAAGTCGAGAACCTCTGAGATCTGGCAGCTCTGGAGGATGTCTCGAGCGCCACGGCTTTCTCAGAGCGTTCCCGAACGCTCTAAGAGCGTTCTGGAACGCTCAGGAACGGATTTATCCTCGTCCTAGGCCGTCCGAGAGGCCTTAGGATACTAAGATCGAATCGATGAGTCGGATCGGCGACCAGAGTGAATAGGATCGGCGGGAATCGGCAGCCAAGTCGGGAGAAAAGACGAATCGGCGGAAGTCGGCATGCTGGTAAGGCCTCCGTTGAGAAACTGAAGTCCAGATCGGAATCCGACGTCGAATCGAATCGGAATCGGAATCGATCAAAATGGAACCGAATGGGGTCGAAGGAGTCGAAACGAGCCCTGGAACGGTGGGGGGGTGGGGGGGGAAGTATCAGACGCGCCCCGAGGGAGGACGTGAAAGGGGTCAGGTCAGAAGTCATCGTCGTCAAGGCATTCTGGGCCTTCTGAGAAGGCCCGCCCTCTCTGCCTTCCCCACCCCGGCGCGCCGCCAAGGTTAGGGGGATAGGGGAGGGAAGGGCGGGAAGGTATACATAGGATCGGAGCAACTGATAAGGGGAGGGGCACATGATAAGAGGAGGGGCAAATGGTATCTCTAGGGTGGGGGCAAATGTTAAAGTGGCAGGGGGGGGTATAGGAGGAAGGACAGGAAGGAGGAGGGAATGGCAGGGGGGATAGAGTGAGGGGTGAGCAGCGGGCCTGGCCCAGTCCCACCCCCACTTCAATATGATGAGGGCCAATTTTCGCGAAACTTGATGCTCGTTCCGTCTGGCTCGCGCAGATTCTTGTCGTAACGATGTCGCAGTGTGTGTTCTGACACCACGTGGCTCGTTCAGCCTTGAAACGTTCCGTCTCTCCGCGAGCGAAGATCACTCAATGTTGGCCGCTTCTGGCGCACTGGCGGGGTTCCACCTTGAACACACGCGCTGGGGTCGCCGCAATATCAACACGACACGGATCCAGCATAGGACGTTGCGGGAAAGAAGGTGTAGGGAATTGGAAGAGGGATAACAAGGTAGGGGCAGGACAGGGCAGGAGTGGATGGGGGATAAGGGATGTGTGGAAGACTGGGCGGGCGAGAAGGGAAACAACTGAAACATCTCCCTGCTCCTCCCCCACCCCTGCTCCTCATCGAAAACCCGTCCCTGTCGCACCACCGGGCGTGCCTCCAGGGCGGGCCAAGTGTGGCGCCTGGAACTTCCCCTCCGCGTATGACCCGGACACCTCCCCAACAGCTACACGGATGGAGGGTGGCTCATTTTGAAAATGGGACTCTCGCCTTGGCGCCGCGCGAGCTCCTCTCAAACAAATCCAACAAGTACACGCATGGATAGCGGGAATATTAAGATATGGCTGCTCTGTCGCTTGGGATTCCCTCAAGACGTAGGACCAAGATCGTGACAATGTCCAGCTCTGGCACGGACGGATGGCGGACTCGTTTCAAAACGGGGCTGCCGCTTGACACTTCCCTGGGCATTATGATCATACCTCTGTGTGCTCCTGATCGCTGTTGAATGGTGGGCGTTTTCTTTACCGATAGGGCCACCCTCCGGATGCTAAGGAGGTTGTTGGGGGGGGGGAGGGGGGGGCGGTCGATTTGCGATGGCTCTGGGTTCTTCGGTGGTGTTTTAACTGTCCTATTGTCGCGCACATCTGCCGATCTATTCATCTACCTATATATGTAGTTATCTGTTTAGGACAATCATCTATACATATACATGCACACCTATCTTATATAAAAATATATGTATCTATCAGCCAAAAGGTCTATCAATCAATCAACCCATCAATGAATCGATCGATATTCCCATTGTTGAATGTATACATATAGACCTACATATACACACATGTACGTATACATATATCAAACTAAATGGTTGTGTGTATAGGTCGATTGCTGTACAGGAAGGTATATAAGTATTTATACACATACATTTGTATAGCGATCTATATATACACACGCTTATTGATGTATATATATACCCATATACCTATCAGCCATCGGGACAACCATCGAGACCACCATCGACAAATAATCAACATCTAACAACATCTAACCACACCTATCTCTCTATCTATCTCATCGGGGCAACCATCGGGACAACCATCGGGGCAACTATCGGGACAGCCATTGGGACAACCATCGGGACAACAACAACCGTCGGGACAACCGCGGGACAACCGGGGGCCACGCCGGGCGCTCGGGGGGCGGCCCTTTTGACAACACATGGCCTCCACTGAGTATGGAACACGCGCAGCTTCGCCTCCCCCGCACGCACGACGCAAACCGAAACCGATTTCCCGAAACCGATTTAACCGATCTCCATGGGCTGGGCCCCACTGACCGATTTTCCCTCCTAAGAAGGATGTGCGCTGCTCCCTTCGGGTTTCGATGGGCATATCCCCAACTGAGGTGGTGAGACGGTGGGGCTCGAGATGTGGATGGGGCTGGGGGCAGGGCTCGGTTTGAGCGATCCCGAGGGCCACGTGCGTTCCAGCCCCCGCAGCCTCTGACAACACCGAAGCTCGCCCGCATGGCAGGCCCGCTAGGCATGCGCCCTTCAGATTCAGGGGGGGGCGCTGCCCGCAGCGGGAGGGGACACGTGTGCGGACTGATGAGCACCACATCGTTCACGCGTCCTGGAGTTCTTATGGTCCTCCTCCTCCTCCTCCTCCTCGTCCCTGAGGCCTTGAAGATGCTAGCGGGTCTGCCTATAACTGGAGCGCATGTCTCCTCCTCCTCTTCCTCCTCCTCCTCCTCCTCCTCCTCCTCCTCAGTCTCCTCTCTCCCTCGCCGCCTCCTCCTCCCCCTCCCTCGCCTCCTTCTCCGTCCTGAAGGTCGTTGGTGCTGACGCTTAGAAGGGAGGGAAGGGAGGGAGGAGGGGACAAGGGGGGGAGGAGAAGGAGGATAAGGAAAAGCGGGGAGGAGCAAGGAGGGAGAAGGAGGAGGGAAAAGGACGTTCAGAAGAAGAGGAGGCGGAGGCGGGGGGAACACGGAAACCAGAGTAAACCCAACACGTATCAACAATGCTGAACCGCACCCTCACGTCCCAAGCCCCACCCTCACAGGTCCCCACGAGCATTATTTCTTAAAGGGGGCCCCGGGACACACAAATGAGTACACAGAAAGCCCGGGATTCCCCACATGTTCCAATACCTTCTGGGTTCTGGGTTTTCGTCTTCCCCCCAACTTCCCAGTAGTTTCCCATAGGTTCCTTGGAGTCGACGATTCTCTGAGGGCCGCGTGTCTTTCCTTTTCCCGATGTCTCCCTCCGCGGAGGCGCCCCCTTGAAAGACGACCGTCCCCTGGTCCCGCACTCCCGCCCGCCCTCTGGGCGAGGGTGGCTCAGCAAGCTCGCTGCTCCGGTCCCAGTACCAGTCGGGGCGTTGACGTGAGGAACCCTAAGCATGGATAGAGGCCCCTCTTTGGGGGGAACGAAGGATGACATAGACATAAAAACTCGGAGGTCCAGCGCGGATCCGAGAAATCCGCGCGGACCTCCGAGCTTCATGTTTATGCCATTCATCGTTCCCCGATGTTCCCGTAAGCTAAACTTCGACTTCCCAAAGAAAACCTGAGGACAACCAGAGGCAAACTGTGAAACAATCAGGGAACACGGAGCCCCTCTAGAACGAAAAAAGGTTCCTTCTTCAGCGCCCCGACTGTAGTCCCATTATTCCCCTTGGGGGATGGGTCCACCACTGCTCCTGATTGATATGCATCCTCTCCCCCACTCGACCGGTGACAAATCAGAGACAATGCCAGACCCCCCACCCGCCATCCTTTACATCCATTACAAAATACCTTGCGAAGAGCACTCTGCCGCAAAATATCGGGCCGTGTTCGGGGAGCCCGCGAGCACCTTGGATATTACCTAACAGCGAAGACTGATAGTTTTCTAGTGGTGTCAAGAGAAAGCATCTCGACTCCGCAGGGGGATCCGGGCAGGATCCGGGGAGCAGCCGATCGGGCGGAACCCGACGAGGGCCGGGCTCGTTTTAAGCAAACAGTTACACACTTCGTGGTCTTCGAGCCCCCAGAACTCCATTCCCGGGCCACATGTTGAATGCCCGGAGCCAACTGTAGGCCACTTCGTGCTCTTCCCATGTAGATCCATCTATGCCTATTTAGTGCATATGCTTATTTAGTAGTCGGCCTTAAATTTAGCGTCGACGTTAAAACTTAGCGACGATCATCGCTAAATCTGTAGCGACGAGTACATCTTAACGACGACGACGGCGCGATGTTGTCCCATGAGGAGGCGCACTTCTCCTGCAATGGGATATTTTGTTCACGCGCGGAGGAGGCCGCGCCTCCTGCGGCGAGCCATGTGCTGCATGTGCGAGCGGTTTGGGCGTGTTCAGGGGGCGTCGCCCCCCCCCCCCCCCCAGGGCATCGCGTCGATCTCGCAGGGGCGGAAGCTGACTTTTTGCCATGGGGGCG